AATTATTAAACAAAAAAGAATTTATTATATATATTGCAATGAAAGTTTGTTTTACATTTCATCTTTTTTAATGTTTTAAAATATTATATGCCGGAGAAATGGTCTTTTCTTGGCGCATTAGGGATACTTTTTCTACAAAAAAAAAAATTAAAATTACTTAATGTAAATTAAATGATATATATCATTTACATTTGTATTTTAAATTCAGTTCCCTTTGTAGAAAAATTATGTATATATTAAAAGTATTTTCAAAATAAAAATTTCTTGTAAAGTTCAATAAGCAAATTTTCGGTCACTGTTTTGTTAAATATAAGGAAGCATTTCCTCTACATTTTCCAAAACGAGTATAAAGTATGTTAATCAAACAAGTTTACATAAACAATGTTGATATCATTTGATTGGAATAAACAGTAAATACTGTTATATACTGTTATACTGTTATATACTGTTTATTGGAATAAACAGTTTATAAAGCTGCATGCCTCCAACCACAATATTAGAAGAAAATCAAACTTGAGATAAAATTTGTGCCATTTGCGCCAAAAAATCTCCCTTTGCGTTATTTAGATATACCGGTTCAATACACGGTTCACTCGGTCATATAATATGTTTGTTTGTTTCATTGTACGCCTTTTCCCAACAGTATTTTAGTCATATAGACGGGTAGTTTCCTAACCATCGTTCCTGGAGAGTTACACCGGTATTAGACAACCTTCCTCCGCGCTAAACTAACAAAAAAAGCATCTCCCGGGGATCGAACCCACGCCAGAGAGTTTACTGGATTAAAAGTCATCGACTTTAGAAGTCATCGACTTTAACAAAGTCATCGACTTTAACCATCGACTCTAACCCCTCGACCACGGAGGCGGTATATGTAGTGTATGGTGATATTGTAGCTATACTGTAATGTTCACTGTAACTATTTATTAGAACATGAAATAGTAAAACTTTACTCAGAAATCGATTTATTCAGTTACGGAATGAAGCATCCATGCACGTAGTGTTAAGTTTTCCGATTTTTCTATGTACCGATTTGTTCACTTCGATGTAAATTTTTCGTTTAAGTTAGGCCGTGTTTTGAAACGGGGCATGCGCAAAACAATTTTTGTAGACTGCTCCTAATGATTTTACGCTTAAAATGAGATGCATTCACTGCAATCAGATACGCAAAAAATGGATGCCGCCAGCAATCAGTCTGAACAATATGGAGAGGTCTGATGACCTCTCCAATAATGTATTGTTTGCTTTTGTACTTATGAATTCACTTATTTTAGGTGGACTTTTACTACATATATTGAAAATAAACTTGTCAACAACTTCCAGCATTAAATTACTATTTGTTTACATGTTTAGTTTCTTAAGTAGCGTAGTCTAGACCGGAATACCGCATCCGTTCTGTGTATTCATACTATTGTGTTCGAGGTTTTTATCCGAAGACTGACGGAAAGGGCCGAGTAGTTGCGATTGTCGCTATATGCTTAGAAGGAACTTCGGATATAATGAACAAATTTTGAATGTCCCAATGAGTTCTCTATAAGCGGAGTTTACTGTATTCTAATTTATTAACAGTATAAATGATGTTGACCTTTTTTTTTACAAAAATCTACAACTTGAACTTTGAAAAACCAGAGAATAGAAAAAAAAATGTAACTTAGTTTGATTGATTGAACTGATAATATATCTCGTATAAATTCCTTTAAAAATTATCTTTCCGAGCTTGAAGTGTCAACAAAATGAAAAAATGTTTTTTTTGTTTTTTTTGCAAATTATGGATTCTCTGCTTATCTACAAAACGGCCCTTGGCTGACTTAAAGTGAACCGGAGTTCGCGATTACAATGTTGATACATGAGACTTTGATTAGATAAATATAATCTCGACAAACATTTTTGTAAATTTTATCTTGTTAAAGTCAAATCAACAGTATGACTTAATGAATTTATATTCATTTCTGTCTGTTTTCTTTGTTTTGTTTGTTTATTTTTTACTGCCTGACCCAATACCTCACTCTATAAACTGCTGAACATTTGCTCACTTTAAGTCAAATTCGAAAAGAACTGACTGAAAATGTCACTTTAAACATTAGATTTCGCAAAAGATCTGTATAATTTTAACTTCCTGACTAAATTCCTTACTCAGAAAACATCTTAAAATTCCACAATTTCAACTTCGTTACTTAACACCTCGTTCAAAAATACCTCAAATGTTCCCTCTTTTCTTTTGCCTGATTCCGTAACTTGTATGCTCAGACTTTATCAGATTTTACAACAACCTAACTCGTGCCGCTTGTTTTGTCCTACACGTTTTGTTTATTTTGATCTTCTTAATAATGTACATGTATATCGCATTTAAAATAAGACCTTGTTCAACGGCCAGATAAAAACACATTTTGTTCCTTATTGCGTAAATAGAGGATATTAAATGAGTGTAGTTTAATACTAAATTTATTGAACGAGTTGAATAAAATCATAAATATGCGAGCCTCTGGCGAGCATAATATTGTTTTATTCAACGAGTTCAATAAATTTAGTATTGAATCTGCACGAATATAATATTCTTTTTATCACATATATAAAATAAGAACAGTAAGCTGTTAAAATGAGTAATTTTTTCAATGACGCGCCTATAGTGTAACGCTAACATTAGCGCGCTTTAACATAGCGCAAATGACGTCACGTCAAAGTGTTATTACACTATAATAGTGTAATATCGTTTTTATTAAATAGCTTTATTTTATTACACTCCTGCGCCGCGTTTTATGTGATAATAGTATGAACGAAAGATGAAATGTGCTTGAAATTTTGACTAAGATCCAAAAGCCTGACGCTTTCAGTTCTAGTGAAACAGACGCTTCACAACCTCCTCAATGCTTTCAAACTTACACGTATATCCAATATATGAATGTATGAAATATTTAGAACAAAATGCTGAATGAAGAGAAAGATATACATACAATCATTCGAATGGTGGTTTTGAGAATGGTGTTGTTGTGGTTGTTCCTGGTGGCATTGTTGTTGTTGTTGGTGGTGATGGTAATAGTGGTATTGTTGTTGTTGTTGATGGTGATGGTATTGTTTTTGTTGTTGGTGGTGGTTGTGGTATTGTTGCGGTTGGTGTATTGATGTTGTTGGTGGTGTATTATTGTTGGTGGTGGTGGTGGTGTTATTATTGTTGTTATTGGTGGTGTATTGTTGGTGGTGATGGTGGTATTGTTTCTGTTGTTGTTGTTGGTGGTGGTGGTATTGTTGTTGTTGTCGTATTGTTGTTGTGGTGGTCGTGTTTTTACTGTTGTTGATGGTTGCGGTGGTGGTGGTGTTGTTTGTATTATTGATGTTGTTTGTGATGACGGTTGTGATGTTTGTATTGTCATACATATATGATAACTCTTACTATTTTATTTCTTATTTCATTAAGATAAATTACTTCCCTTTAATACTAATTGAATATCTCAGGTTTAAATTTCAGAATATTTTTTTTATATGAATCACATATTTCCTTGACATAAACGTCAGTTTACAAGTTTGACAATGAAACAAAATGTTTACAATTTTTAGCAAATATTGAGTTAAAACTGGCATTTCATTCAAATGGGAATGCATTGAGATTTTTAGACATAACGAGACTGGAAATATTTTTTTACCATTTGACGTAAGTCCTAGACCAATGGATAAATCCCTGACCTGTCCAATTATCAGATTAGTGGATACAATAAGAATTTCATCACAACATATTTGTGAACACAATGTTTGTGGTTAAATCTATTGTTATTCAAATAAAAGGTCGGAGTAGGGATCTATCAATAACTTGTGTGCAAAACTTCAGATCATTCGCTCTCTCGGTTTTTCTGTATCAAATCAGCCTAAGAATTCCATAAAAAATGTTAACGATTTATTACGTGACTGTTTATTTCTTATATTCGTTTTTTTTTCTGTTGTAAGTTTTCAAGGTGATCTTCGCTGTAATTTCAAATTTCATGTTTTGAGTTCATATTGAGGTTTCGGACCTTGGTGGAACTGTATTTTAAGAAGGGGGTGGACAAGATGTATCTTGTGATTGTTGATGCTGCTTTTGCTGTTCTTATTTTGTTGCTGTTTATTGTGGCTGGCTGGCTGGCTGGCTAGGGCTGACTGGTTTGCTCGTTCGGTTGTTTATTGGTCGGTAGACTGGTTTTTGATTTCTAATTAGTGTTTGTTTTTATTCAAATCAAAAGGAAAATATTGTAAAAAAAATTGTAAAAATTGTGCTGTAATAATCACCACATTTGTGCATATTTAAAAACAGCATCATAGAATTAATAGTAAATTTATTTAGCGTATCTATATGTTGAAATTTGCTGAAGGCGGTGTTACGTGGGCTGCATTATATCTGCAGTGTTCAAAATATGAATGAATTTCACCGGTTAAGAATAAGAATAGAAAAAAATAATAATAAATAAATTAATTAATTAAAAATAAGAATAAGGATAAAAGTACCGAAATATATTTTTAAAAAAATAAAAGTAAAATTATGATAAAAATAATAATGATAGAATAAAAACAAACAACGAAAATGATGCGTTTTCTGAACTAAATCTATGTAAGCAATGGGAAAGGTAAGGCCTACTTTGTCGCCTGTACTAGCAAACCACAGGTAAAGTTGTCCTTTAATTGACTACAAAGTTCAATAATATTAAATTTTTATATGTTTTGTTTACGAGGTAAATAACCTTTAATGGCACCTAAGCTTTTAACGTTGTGAATGACACAATATCGAAATATCATGATAAAATTTAAAGGTTGGTTTAATACGCACTATGAGGCAGATCTTTAAAGTTTAAATACAATAAAACACTTATTGTTAAATTGTTTATCAGACTATCTTTGTATAGAGTCCCAATGTTTTAATACTTTAAATCCCATATTATATCTCTCGACTTGTTTGATTACGCATGATATTATATCCTTTACATGTCTAGTTAAAAGAAAAATAGCGACTAATTGTTGAATAGGATACGTACCCGGGTACTTGTTTTATCCGAATAATTTTATCCGAATAAGTGTATAGATATTTTGACAGGAATTTAATAAGTAGACAAAAAAGTGGTCAGGATTTTTATTTTGTTAAAATCTTGGCTAAATTAAATGTGATTTATTGTTAAAAAAAAGAAAAAGAAAGTGAACTGCTGCTGGGAATTTTATTTTAAAAAGATAAACACAAACTTTATATGGCAAAATAGAAATCTAACACGAAAGTCTAAAACAGTTATTGAAAAATAGCAGACTTTGAGTTACATCCAAACAAAATTTCAACAACAGGCAGTTTAAGAAAGAATGGACATTAACTTTTGTCTGGGCAAATAACAAATTCAATTAGTTAAAAAAAGCCTAGATGGCTATTTTCAATCATCTTTTTTAAAGATTAAAACTTCTGGAGATCGTTCTTAAAGAAACGCTTGAATTCGCGTAAACACGTTTTAAATGAACTGATTTCGACTCCGTTGCGTATAGGCTAAAGATGGAACAGAAGAAAAATGGTATACCTACAGTTAAAGTAGAGAATACAGCGTTGCGGGAATTGGAGGAAGAAGACGCTATACGTCGTCTTGAAGATGTTGTTGACACTGTAGGTCTTGCAAACAAATTCATGTTGTTGTTTTTTTCTCCTTTTTTAAAAACCTTATTTTATTAGTGGCTAAGTCTTAATATGTTAACTGTTCTAAATTGGTAATTATAATATCAGGTATTTATATGATTTTGTCAAACTGTTTTAGATTGGTAATAAAATCTTTATGTCGGATTTTCAAGAAAATACATAATATTTTTTACATCAAATATACACAAAAATAAAGTAAATTGTTTGTTAGCAAAGCATGGGTTAACAATTTAAATAACGCATAGAAACAACATTGATTGGTTACGTACATGGTGGTGTTGTTGTTGCTCGAAAAATTCATTTTTTATCCGTCGGCTTGGCACTTAATTGTTGTAACCGCCAGATTTGTCACCGGCGGGTTAATGTTTCCTCATATTTACACGATTTTCATTTATTTCATGATACGTCGTTTATAAAAGGCATTGTTATCATGTTAAACAAGCAATTATCATAGTATAGTATTGCAAGCAATCCATAAGTCCCCTACCGGTAAGAACCCCAGCAACATTCTGAAGGCCATTCACTTATGTTTCTAATTTGTTGAAAAGTTCTTTAAAAGTGATCACAGGAAACAGTTTTTTATGTACAGACAGACAGACGGACTGAATGACACTCTAAAATTATTTCTTTAAGCATCCCTGTTATCAAAATATAACATTTTTAAAAGCAAAATTCTTAAAAGGGAGAGAACTCTTGAAATAAAGATGCAAGACGTCACACATGATGTGAGAGTAACAAAGAACAATTAGTAATGAAGGTGTTGATAATGAATGGTTTTTTTTTATTTGAAGTAAAAGCAAGTTAAAAGAATGAATAAGAAAAATTAAAAGTTTAAAGAGGAGATAGTTCTGGAAATATAGATGCTAGATTTATAAACTTTGTCATATTATTATGATGTTGGAGTTTGAAGAAAATCCTATTATGATTGAAAAGTTGGAATAAAAATTACCAATTTCTCGAAAAAAGTGTAAGTAAAGTTCAAAAGGGGCATAATTCTGGAAATAGTCTTGCTAGAGTATTGAACTTTTTCACAAATGTTGAGTGATAATAAGAAACATAGATATGAAGTTTAAGTAGATACATTCAGAAAAAAAGAAGTTATTAAAAAAAAACATTTTTTTTTCATGAAAATTCTAAGTTCAAGGAAAGAAATTCTGATAAATTTTATGCTAGAGTTGAAAAACCTTGTCACATATGGTGTGGTTGATGACTAGAAACTTATATTTAAAGTTTGAAGAAAATGCCTTAAGAAATAAAGAACTTATAGTGAAAAAACGTTAAAACTAAATCTTGAAATTCAGTCTTATTTGTTGCCATTGCAACCAGAATTTTCAACATAGAAAGAAAAAAAAATTGTGCATAATCTCCAGACTGCCATCTACTCATATTTCAAGTTTCATAAAACTATTTTCAGTACTTTATGCGTTATCACTGGATCCAGGTTATGTGTAAAATTTGCCATATTTTCAGTCTATTTGTTGCCATAGCAACCAGAATTGTCAACATAGGAAGAAAAGAAAAAAAGATGTGCATAATCTCCATACTGCCATCTATCCATATGTCAAGTTTCATAAAAATATTTTCAGTACTTTTTGCGTTATCACTGGATCCAGGTTATGTGTAAAATTTGCCATATTTTCAGTCTGTTGCCATAGCAACCAGAATTTTCAACATAGGAAGAAGAGAAAGAGGCGTGCATAATCTCCATACTGCCATCTATCAATATATCAAGTTTCATTAAAATATTTTCAGTACTTTTTGCGTTATCGCGGGATCCAGTGTTGTGGACGACGGACTGACGGACGGACGGACGGACAGACGGACGGACGGACAGACGGACGAGGGTAAACCTAAAGTCCCCTCCGGTAAACCGGTAGGGGACTAATAAGTTCATTTTAGATTCTGAAAAGTAAAAGAAGTTATAATGTTGAAAATTAAATAAATAAAAGTTTAACGGAGGAATAAAGGTTATTTTAATTCCAGCGTTGTAAAATTTGCTTCAGTTGCTGCTCCTGTTGTTGATGCTGCATTATTGTTGATGTTGCTGCAATCACTAATGCTAGAATGGCATCAATCCTATCATTGCTGTTCCTGTTCTTGTTGTTAAAATACGGAATAAATGCTTTCGTTTACGTTTCCTCTTCAGAGGTGAAACTTACTCACCCTTGTTTAGAAAATACACGTCATGGTTATGTTAAACAAGCGTTTTGGAGACAAATAGTGTTTGTTATTAAGATGTTTATTTATGTAAGGGTCTCGGATGGTAGCTTACATTTGACATTGCCATCTAAGAACAGGATCAACCATATCGAGCCCGCAACAGTTGTGCAATTTATCATTGAATAGGGATATGGTCCTAAAATGTTCAATGTACTAATTTAGTTGCGTTAAAGTAGGTTTTTTCGCAGTCGGCCAATTGCTTCAAAAACAAAATGTTAACATCTATGTGTGGTTGTGATGTTGTCTTTTGTTGTTTTGTTGTTATTGTTTTATTGTTGTTGTTGATTTTTTTTTTATTTTATGTTTTTGTCTTTGTTTTTTGCTGTTTTGCTTTTGTTGTTGTTGTTTTCGATAATAATATACATTCAAATTTAGCCCCATTTACAGACTTCAGCTGTGAATTTGTTCAAGTCTTCAAATAAAAAATGAAAGACTCGAATTTCTGTTAGTAATTCGAATGAAGAAGGTTTGTGATTTTTTTAATTACTTCGAAATGATAGAATATGTAAACGGTTTATTTCTTTTATTTCATCCACAGATGACGGATATGGCTCATATACGAAGGAATTCAAGAACGGTAAGAATATTTTCTTTGGTGAGAGAGGCGTGGTTAAAGTAGCCCCACCTCCTTTCACTTAAGCTTTTCTAAGTTACACAAATTCATATATATCTGACCGATACAACTCTAAAGGCTACTGTATTCGTTTTTATTCATAAAAGTAAATATATTTTTTTATGAAAATCACGGGTCAAAATTTAAAGTGCAAACTTTCAAGCGTTGGATTTTAAGTACCGTTAAAAATCTGTTTCATTAATTTACATTTTTATCCTTTTTTAGAAAGATGATCACCAAATGGAAATCAGTCCAGCGTTGGTAAAAGGCAAGTATCTATGGGGCACTATATAGTAAATAATAACCACAATCCCTCCTATACATTGAGAAAAGCAGGGACATAGGCTTTCATATTTTCAAACCCCTGGTGAAAGCCGCGTACTGCCGGGACAATCAGATAAAATCCCGGCATTGCTATAGTCATTTTGGCGCCATAACAAAACCACCCTTGGCAATTGACCCGACATTGTGGATACAAGCTAAAAGTAAACTAAACGGGAATGAGTGGTCCGTGGTTATAAGTAACTGATGAATAAATATATATGTTAAGTTTTAAAATAATTTATATTTAAATATATATTTCAGTTTAATTTACATGATGGAGGCTTGAAGCTTTTTAAAAGAACTTGCGGGTTCATTTCATGAAACTTACCAGCACATGGGCCATTTACGGAATCATGGCCATGACCATAATAGTGCTCGAACCCATGATACCCGCGTGGAGAGACATAGGCCTTAACCACTTGAATATATGTCCCTTCACAGACAGAGCATGAGCGATTTATTACCCCTGCTACTATGAAAGTGTGTATTATAAAAAAAGGTCCATAACTGTACTTGTTACACACATAGTTACATTTCATGCTTTTAGGCTTTGTTGTCACTTCAAACGTCACTAAATAACGTAGATCTTATTAATCTTGTTATACTTTTAACTATTGCATTCATATTTTACAGAGGCGATAGAGGCATTTGATTTATTCGACAGAGATGACAGTCATGGGTTAGATATAGATCAATTAGCACGAGTTTTTCGTGCAGTAGGTCAGAATCCTTCCGATGCTGAACTAAGAGAAATAATGAAAAAGCACGACCTTGACGGTAAGCCTCATTTGTAAGTTTTATTTTGTAAAGAAGTGAATAAAAGTATTTTCAGGTAAGAAAGCAATTTTGTTAAAGTTCACCTTCACAAAATCTCTTGCCAAATCTTTCATCGTGTCTAAAACGCCAAGTGGTGTACATAGACAAATTTAGAAATGGAATTAAAACCTACTTATTAAAGAATGGGTGTCTGGGCTAAACCTTGACTTGGTATAATTTGTGTTATAAACAAGCTCAACTTTTATTTTAGAACTGTCCATTATCAATTTTGATGATATTAAGATAAAAATATGTACAACAGTATAGAGGCAGGTCTAATTGTACGGATGTGCACGGGTGTTACGATTGGCCTGGCTCTATACTAGTAGGTGACAAAGGCAAAATTTATCATTTTTCGGTTTTAGCAGGTTAAAGGCCCATTATGCCTCAAAAATGCTATCGTTTATATTGAACCCTTTTCATTTTTGGTGTCTTGTAACAATTTCCAAAAACTTAATCATTTACCATGTACATGGACTACTTCTGCCTTTGTTTCTTTGTTTGCAATTGGTATAATGATAGTGAATTAGTATTTTGTATGGAAGTCAAAGCACTTTTTTTTGTTCACATTTTGCTACCTTTACGGCACATTCAGCACTACTTTCTTTAGTTGTTAAGCATTTAATATGCACTAAATCGAATGTTATAACACAACTAAACACATGTTTCACATTTCCAAAGAATTAAAAGAATATGGATATTCTTAGGCATAATGTACCTTTAAGTCTAACTATATTATTTATGTCTGAGTTATAAACATCAATGGTCTGTTTGTAGGTAATGGGGTATTGGACCAGGACGAGTTTCAGAAGATGATTGTGTCCTACATGAAGCCGATGTGGCAGGTTCAGGAAGAGCTTAAAGACGCATTCAGAATATTTGACAAGGATGGTAACGGTCAAATTGATAAAACAGGTGCGAGTTATTTCCCTTGCACAATTTTATATGAATTTGTCAAGCTTTCGATTTTATGTACTCTCTGTGCTCCATATCATGAAATGTTAAATTGTATTGTGTATAGGCATTGTATTTACATGCTTTATGCAATAAACTTTTGAATTGAATTGAATTGAATTTTGGTCTAGTCAAAGGTTCATAATCAATTTTGGAAAGATCAAGATGAAAAGTTCACAGTTAGTCAATGCCTTTGATAATTTAAATTATCTAATTACATGTACATTATTTTATTACCTCCCTTTTTAAAAATATATCGCGTTATATGAACTTAGTTTTATATTGGAATAAGACCTTTTCATATTCTATGTACGCTTGAAAAATGTTGATAATCAGCTTCAGAATATTAAAGAATAGTATAAAAAAAAAGATAATTGGATTATATGTGCGGAAAAATACGACGGATTCCGAATGTGACCGAGTTTAATGTAACAGAATTTAAACTTCTCTGGAATGATAAGCATATTTGTATCATGTTTTTCATTTTTTCAGAGTTGGAACACGTTTTGAAGAAGTACGGGGAACCTCTGACACATCGCCAATCAAAAGAATTAATCGCTTTAATGGACAAGAACGGTGATGGCCAAGTCGATATGGACGGTAAGATAATTACGAACAATATCAACGTATTTAATACTTGGCGATAATTTAAATCTGACAAAGTTCAATATTCTCGATCATGCCCGGGAGTATTGTTACAATTCTTGCAAATGCAGAGTTTCTTCCCTTTGATTTAATTAAAGATATACACCATTTACATTGTCATTCTTACATGTTCTTAACCTACAAAAAAATACTAGTAAATATTCTCTATTTGTAGCATTATTTTTTACTAGGGACATCACTAGATAGTGGTATAAAACAAATGCACAGAGTTGAGGAAACGAGATAATAAAAATTTCATTGAAATGAAATGATTAAACCGTGTGTTATAATAACTGGCAAGTTCACAATTTAAGAAAGACATACCAAAGAAGTTTATTCTTGGTGTTTTTTTTAATTAATATAGAGTATACTCCATTGATTATTTTAGTAATCTTTTGATACGAAGCTATGCCATATATGATGGTACTGAAAACAATACACAAGAAGAATTGTCTTCCTCTTTTCAGACTTCGTTAAATTTTTATGTGAAGTGGACCAACCAGATTTCTTCAGGACGCATTATCCAAATAACGCCCGCCGGAAAAGTCAAGCTGGACTTCCAACAACCCATTGAAACCGCCCGCCGGAATATATCCCCCTTTCTAAATTTCCCTCAACAACGAAAAAGAATTGCCAGTTTCCACAAATAATAGTCAAAATAACAATTCCAATGACGGTACACATAACCTAAAAATATAATTTTAAAAACGCATGCGCACAATCAGGTGTTCCCTACATTTTTGCCATTGAGACAAACATAATACATACATATGCGCCAGTACCATGGATAATCACGGAAATCACCGATGTTTGCCGACAATACCCGAGTATTTATTTCTGCTATTTTTTCTAGACATTAATAATTCTTAATTGTTGTTGGAGTATGAATATAAAGTCAACGAAATCAAATCATCTTCGTACATTTTCTTCTTCACAAAACAAACAAAAGGGATGTTCCACAGAACTCATTAATGGGTCAAATCTTAAACAATTTAGCCTCGTTTTCATTTCCAGAGTCCAAATTTCTATTCTATAGCAAATGCATATCGTACCCCATATACCTGTTTATATTTTCACAGTCAATGCGTATCATACTCCATCTAGCCTCGTTTTCATTTTTAGAGTCCAAAAGTTAATATCAAATCTTTATTGTACTTGAAGAAACAAATTTCTGTCAGAAATGGTGATGTGAAATAAAGAGGTCATTACACATAGAAATAAACAGTTTTTATAACAATTAATAAATTCAGTATCTACATGTAAAATGCACTTATTTTATATCCTCTAGCTTCACAATATTGTATTCATGGGCAGTTATTTCACATTTTTGCTCAGATTAAACGATAATATGCGAGTTCAAATGTAATAATGAAAACGAATTCGTATTTTACAACAAAATGTTAGTTTTTTATAGTCATGTTGTTAACTTAATTAGAAGTCAGTTGTTTTAAAGATTGTACATGTTTATATTGTGATAATATACATAATATATTTATTATAAGATATTTATTATAAAAGTTTATTGTGCTCTGTTGTACCAGTGATCTGTGCTTATTATATGTCTTAGTACATGTGCATTAAATTATGAATCATCTCTGGGAGTTGTTCTTGTGAAATCACGTTACGGAGAGCTTTCCTTTTGATAATCTACACAGGCCGGTGCCTTTCCCAGGCGATAAAAAGCCCTTGAATGGGGATTGGTTGGGGTTATCGACTGGTGCCTAAACCTTTAGTTATAAGATCGATTTGGTTCAATCTTAATGTCCGCAATATTAGAATATCATATTACTAAAATTAAACGATACTCAAAGTAAATGGTCCTTATACAGATTAATCTATTAACTATAATTTATATACAGCAAAGTGTGTAACAGATTGCGTGTGTTTATTCAATTAAATATATCCAATCGCATAATAATTAGATTGGCACAATTAATTAGTGTAACGATTTCCCATGTGTGCTACATTGCATTAAACTACGGTGGCGTAAAGGGGACATGTGAAATCTTTTATTTACTACTTGCACATGCACATTGTAAATAAAAGATTTCATATGTCCCTTTCATGCCGCCGTAAATTTACAGTTTAACAGGTAGATAAAGATTGCTCCGAAGTTTTAAGAATATGACAGCCTTTATAAAACACTCTATAAAATTAACAATATAAATAGTCTAGATAACCTGCACTTAAAGTACAACACAAAGGTACTTTTGAGTATACACCGGGAAGAAGGTTTGACACTCCCGAAATGACGCCAGAAGTCCGTGCTAGTATACCAACAACTTCATGTGACTTACCCGGTATAATGTACTTTAATTGTTTGTTTTTTTTTTTCAAATCAGCACGCAAATCAAGTGCATGTTCATTGAATAATAATTATTATTGTTTATTTTGACAAGCTCGGTTATTATGAAAAAACAAAAAAGTATACTACAACACCTCTAAAATCAAACATGAACAAGATAGGTGTAACTATAGGTGCGCTGAGCCATTGACACACAGACAAAAAGTTAGATAACACTTTGTCACTCTGTGCTTCTTTTTTATATTTTTTTCTTATCGAATATCTGAAATAAAAAAAATATATCACCCGATATTGGCAACAGCAAACAAATCAAATATCTGACTACTACTGTATCTAGATATTGTATGATACTCCAAACAGATTTACAGATTTTGTAGTGTCTTTCTATATACTCTTTAAAAGTTTATTATCTATCTCGAACGTGTTTACATTATACTAGCGGAAAAAAGAAACTATGCATGCATAAAAATGTCCATGTATTGCTCAATTTTGATAACTTAATAAATTAATTTATAAATATACAATGTATTATTACATTGAAATTTAATACCGGTAATGTATTTACCTCCCTCGGTTATTTACATTAGTCAGTTTAGTCAGTGCACGATTTGCACGTATAATTTGTCTGCCTCACCATCGTCTTCGTTCTGACGTTGTTTTTCGCCCGACAGCCAGTCGGAAAAAAACTTTTGGCGATTAAACTTGGATCATAAAAGAAACATCTTTGATATGTCATGTCGAGATTGAATGAAACTGACAGATACCGTGGTGTATGCATTCTCAAAAAAAAAGGTGAACGCCATACTCACAATGTCAGACAATTTAGAGCGCATCAAAATACTGTAAATGCCATGTGGAGACGGTACTGGTAGGTTTCAACCACAAGAGACCGGCGTCAAGTCAGGACGTTTACGCGTAAATGTCGAATCGCCAGGATACGAACATCCGGATCGTTCAATGACTCAGAACTGCTACTTTGACCGCTATAAGTATTCTGCCCTTAGAAGAATCAGTCCTCGAACGGGAGGTTATCGATTGCTTGAACGGTGCATTCGTCATCGACGTCAAATCATACGTCACCTTCTCCAGACATGTCATCGACCGTGTAGCACGTTTGTCTGATGCAAACGACGCATACACTTCAAACAACAGGAAGTGCACTTGGTCTTTCCATGGATGTGTCCAGGTTTCAACTCAGAATTAGCGATGATAGTTCTGAAGTTTACCGTCACCCAGTGGCAGAACAGTTCTTGTGGCTGTGGATCTGGCCTAACGTCCGTCCGTTTGTGAAGCAACGCAACAGGATGTATCGCCTATTGAACACCGTACACGAGAAGGTTGAGGTGCAGCATTGCTTACGTCGCCTTCAAAACCAGCTGGTGAAGCTCCATGACGTTGTGGATATGGAATGTTATTGCTCATGCACAGGACATCAGAACTGTATTATCAATGAGGCGTCGGTGTCAAACAAACATTAGTTCCAGTGGTTGAAATGCATGGTATTGATGAGCTGAACTTTGTTAAGAGATCGTCTGTTAAATCTAAGACGTTGCTTTGACATTGCTGATTTCTGATATACCTCCTGAATCATGGCATTTTAAATACGTAAATTAACTATGCACTATTTCTTTTTCCCGCTAGTATATATTTATTTCCGATATATTGAGCGTGCTTTATGCAAATATGTAAGGCACTTATCTCAATAAACCATACAAGAAACTATCGAAAATCTCTTGAAAAGATAAACAGTTTTAAATGTTATATATTCAAAATAAACCATTGAAAGCGTTTTCTCTACCTTGAGTAAACGGTGTCATATTAATTTCCTCATGTGAGAATCGATACTGGGCTCTTTTAAAACTTCACTGTAAAGGGTGAAATCTTATTTAAAGAAAACAGTTACGATGAAGGTAAGATATACATTTTTTTCATTCTTTTTTTTCAAAAATGGATATTTAACGAAATAATGTGAAAAATGTATTTTTCTTTGAGAAAAGAAATCTTTTTGGGACATGAGTAGTCGGACAGGAGTCTGACAGGACCCGAAATTCTGCATGGATACATAAACCACCTGTTTTACATGTAGGGGTATGATATTGTAATTATATGGTAAATTAATTTAAAAAAATCCAGGTCCCTGTACATTTCATTGAGACATTTATTAGAATATTCTAAGAGAGTGTTTTAAAGGCACAACATGCGTAAAAACAAATTTTTTACTTTCTTTGAAATAGCGCATATGAGTTTAAAACCGTTTAAATAATGGTTTAAGAGCATGTTAATTGCTTGTTTCCGGAAGAAAGTAGGGATAAATATGAAATAATTTGTCATAAAAGAAGCAAAATGTAAACAAAATAGTATTTTGACTTCCATACAAAATACTAAATCACTACATGTATAATTGTACTTATTGCTAAGAAGCAACATAAGGAAATGATTTGTTGAGGTAATTGGCCTATGAGTTACTTTTTGGAAACTTTAGAAGAAAATGTACACAGAAAATTGAACATTTTTGAGAAATAAAAGTAAGGTCGTTCTGGTGCATAATGGGCCTTTAAGCAAGCATGTGACGAGCTTGATAACAGTTATGAAACTGCCACAATGTTAGCCTAAATGAAATTACATCAAATAGCTCTAAAACCGGGAAATGTTTATAAACAACGGAACTGGACCAAGCACCGATTTGCGGCTTTTTTCGGTTATAAATTCTTTATAAAGATTGTTGACAGGTTATATGGCCCTATATAAACGGCTATTTGTAAATATAACCCGAGCCGCTAGACGAGGGTTATATTGCAAACAGCCGTTTATATACGGCCATATAACCTGTCAACAATCTTTATAAAGAATTTATAATACAGCAAGCATGGTCCATTAAAGGCCTATTATTCCTTATATTTCTGTCGCAAAAGTTTTTATTTTTTATGTCCTGCTATAGTTTTGAAAAATGTACACATTGGCCAGTTACCTTAACTATATTTTGCTTCTTTTGTTTTTTTGTTTATAAGCAAAATTATAGTATTTAGTATTTTGAATAGAAGTCAAATCTAACAAGCTTTAAAGCCATTATTTAAACTTAAAGGAAGCTCATGTGTGCCCATATTAAGGAACAAAGAAATTCATTTCTGAGGCGTAATGTGTCTTTAAATAAAAAAATATGTACGAAGAAAAGAGATAAATACATGTATATAGCAATGCCTTTGTAATCACTAGAAAAAGAAACTACCAAAATCACAAAAAAACAACGTTTATAACTGGTGAAGCGGCATGTCTTTAACATCTTCCACTTCAAATAACACAAGAATTATATTATACAAGTACATGATTGTCGTGACAGGTGTTTAAACACTTTACCGCGACAGTGGGATCACATTTTTAGTCGCGTATATCGATCTTTTATGATCTATTGAACTCTACTGAAAATCTAATTAACGCTTATGTCATTGAGAAAAATTAAAGGTATTGTATACAAAGGGTGATCGCGTCTACATTTATATTTTATAGGACATTATGAGTTGATATGTAATGATTACTTGCAGATTTTCATAAAATATTAAACACGAAAATGATAATTAATATTTTGACAATTGGAACTGACTATAATTTTACAAGTTTACAAGAGTTGGACGTTTACAATAAGGTACATTTTTTCCACTACAATAAGAGCTCAATAATTGTTGAAAAATATGAAACACAATTTTAAAGTTGACAAAGGAAGTATATTTACTTATTGTTAACTAAATTTGATTTATTTGTCGTTTTTTCTAACACATTATTGTCTGCTTAATTTGCATGCACCAGTCAAAATAACAGTGAACAGTTTTAAATAAAGCAATCATACCAAGAGGTAATGACTAATATGTGAAAGAAAAGGGTTTTATTCTTTTTCTGCTTTTGATCTCTTGGATAATGGGTTCGAATCCACTTGAGTCACGACCAGGTTTTCTCATGTGACGTCAGTACAGGTTAGTTTCAGGATGCGGACTCAAAAATGGTTCCGTTAAACTTCACGATTTATTCACTAAACTCAAATGAATAATGTTAAAACTAACTGTACAGTAAGTACATAAAAATAATGTTTGTTTTTTATAATTACCGAAAACATGTCACGCTAATTGTGAGACGAACCCTTAAATGATGTCAGTATGGGCGCCGCCATTTTGAAATGGACGTCACGTCAGGTAACACCGTAAGTCAACGGTAAAAAATATGAATTTAACATTTTAGCCATATTATTGACTTTTTAAAAAAAAGAAACAGAAATACCTAGAGATATTGACGTTTGGGTTAACATGACATTAATTTAAATGATTTTATTATAATAAAAATAATGAAATGTTCAAATTTGACGGGACCGACTATATAAATTAAACTTTGAACAGTGGCTAAAGTGTGACACTTTTACCTTTCCGATAAGCGGATTATATAGTGAATGATTAATCTAATTTAATTTGAATTTAACGCTTTAAAGACATAACTCAAGTGTTCCAAACTATATAATACATTATTGATCTGTCAACTCTGTTTAACATTGTACAAACATTTACATATCAGAAAAAAAGGCCTTCGGTAAGACTGTAAATAAAAGTTATTCAATCATTTTGTATTGATAAAGAAATAAGAAGAATTGGTAAAAGTCCAAAAAATCTTTAAAGTGCGCTTAAATTGCGTTAATTCAAAATGCGTTTATACTGAGAAGATTGTCAAATCGACAAACTAAGCTATATTTAATTAATGTTTATGTCATTGATTTCTAGCTTTTGCAGTGATTTATCAATAAAACGTGCAATAAAAATACGGCATTTGGGATAAATCAATGACAATAGAAACTTTATAAAGTCTAAGGAATATATCTTGTATAGAGGTATGTAGGCTTTGTGCTTCTTTTGATTACCACAGCTCTTATCTTATTTTGATCATCGTGTTTTTTGACATTTAACTTAGTCTATTTGATTTTCTGATTATTTTTCACAACAAAGACAAAAAACTTATCGTGCAAACATGTTTAGTACAAAATTGTTTGATTAAAACGTTTGCGGCTGAGACGCGGAATGTTCGATTCAGAGGAGACCAATATTAAATTCGTATTAAGTGTATTCGAATTAAACATATATTTACAGTAACAATATCAAATGATATAGTACAAATTCTGTATAACACATAAATACAACTAAGTACATGTATATTAAGGAACTATTCTGATATCAGTAATTGTTAAAGATAAATTGTCTTATAAGCTCATGCCAAAGCAAAGTCATACATGGGTTTTAGATAGATTTTCTTACATTCACACGCCAGCTATATTTCGTACACATCTGTATAGCTAAGTACTTCTTAACAGGAAACAATAACTGAATTTTTATGACATTTTGAATTACAAACATGAATTAGAGCGGATAGGTCTATATTGGAAACATTTAATACTCGTATTTTAAATATTGATAAAAACAGTAGAAATGTATCATTTGGATTTTCATATAAAATACTGCGTGAAAAAAATGTGATAAAAGATTAAGTTACCATTTACTGGATGAATAGTATTTTTTCTAGATATCTTTATTATCTGTTATATAGATATAAATATAAATATACATGTATGTAATATCGGATCATATATCTCACACGTTTGCCAACAACCTTCATGTATAATTCTTTCCTGGTTTGTTATTATATCTTATTATAAATACTTTAAACGTAATTGTTCATTGTATTACAGACCTTTCATTATAACTCAATTCATAAATCATCAAATATTGTACATAAATTGTGAAATCGTGATAGGAGGGACATTACAATAATGATCAATATAAAAAAAAACCCTGCTTTGTTGCGCTTTCAAAGATAATGTTTATCAAAGATTTTTACTTCTGTTTCTTGAAATGAAATGGCTTATCACCTGAATATCCTGCTAAAAGAGGCATGCCAGTGAGTGAGTAATAAATATCAGGAGTATAGTTTATAATGTTCGTTTTAATATTCAATACACTTCATAATCAAATCGATAACCGTTTAAAAAAACCTCCTCTTAATATGAAGATCTTCGGCACCACTCTTATCTAGAAATAAGATCTTGTAATTTGTTTAACTGTAAAAGGGCTTTTATAAATATATACAAATCAATCAATGCAAATTTGAATGCAAGTTATTATAATTATAATTTTTTTGAACAGTTTGCGTTTCATTCACATGTAATAAACTTGGTTGGGGAAATCAAAATCAAGTATTTTTGTTCTATATTACTTATTTATAAATTCATTTCACTACATTTTATGCTTCTTGCAATTTCTATTTGCAGTGCTTCCCTCTATACGGAGAAAATTGAACTGTACTAAACATGGCGTTCTCGTATTTGGGACCGGAATCGCCTCGGCCGTATTCGGTAATATCCGAAGGATTCCAAAATCGTTACCGCATTCCCCGACATCAGGCATGGGAGAATTTTACGTTCGGAGATGAATATGATGAGCATTTGTTTTCACTGATGAATAAATATCTAGATTTAGAGACAACTGACAGAGTTTGTTATATTGGGGACACTAAAGGGAGCTTAGCAGAGGCACTCATGGACAGGTATAATAATGACTCTTTGATGTTTTAAACTTCAGCATTCTGAATTTGTGTGATGTATTTGCCCTGTTTTTAATAAAGAATTGTCCATTCAAAGTTTAACTGATTTCAAAATACAAACTGAGCAAACAATTTCTGGTTCTGCGTTATGTCCGTCCGTAAATTATCTTAGAATTGATCGAATGTACACAATGGTTAAAAAACAAGACATTCCGTACTCTACTAGACTAGCTGGATATAGTCCTGTATTGAACAAAGTTGTAACACGGATGTGCTATATTGGACAGTTCAATATGCGTATGGCTTTTTTTCATTTACGTTAAGGAATAGCCGAAATGTTAAAACGATTATCGTGTGAAATTGAAATTGAATATTAAAATAATGAATAAATAACATATAAAACATTGTCCATTATATGAAGGTTAAATTTGGACTCGTGCACAGCGTGAGAAATCATATTGGAATCCCCGTATATGGAATCTTTAGCTGTATATTTGTCCAAATATAGTCTAACTATATTATTCCCGGATTGTAGAGTTTTATCTTCTGAATAGTGTTAATATTGTTTAACTATTTATAAAAGCATTATATGATATATTTGTTTCTAGATTCTGTGTCCTTGAGCCTCTGTTGACAGTCATCCCTGGGCACTACAGCTATGTAGAGACAGAATCAAACAAAGTGTTGTCCATCAGGGTGGCACATGTTGGGTCAGAAGAATTTTTCCGGTTACAGGCTCGTGAAAAACCAGAAAATAGACAAATGTTTGATAAAATTATTATCAAAGACGCTCTTAGATACTTTGAAAATCCCATTGAGATGTATAACAATATAATGAAGTGCTTGAAGAAATCTGGAAAACTTTTAATCGTTCACCGGCCAAGTTCTATCAACACGCTTCCGGTGTTCCAAAATGCTAAACAACGATTGGAAGACAACGAAATTCCATATGATGACATCATTAAAGATTTGAAATCATGTGACTTTGATGTCCAATGGGAGATTGAGTGTCTGCCAATACTTATGTCAAAGAAAAAATGGTATTCGTTGCTCAAGTCAAAATTCCCGCCTCAAATGGAAATTCTCAGTGATGTTGAGGTTCAATGTGGTATACGAGAACTTTCGGAGGGTATTATGAAATATGAAGGCGATGCGATCGAATTCAATGATAGGTTGCTATTTATAGTAGTTTCTAATCCCGCAGAAAAGAGAAGAGGATATCCGGGAATTAAACGCTACAACGCAGACGACTTTTCCCCGTTTCCGGATATTAAAGACATGCACTATTCAATGGAAATGTCGGACGACATAAAGAAATACGTACATAATAAACCAAAAACTAGTATACATAGAAGTGCAGATGGCAACGTGTTTTTCAGCTAACACTAGAAATAATGATTTCATGTCGTGACTTTATCAAAATGGATAGAAAAAACAAAATTAAATTTCAATATTCTGTTTTAAATAAATCGCTGCGAAGGGAATTGTTGTCTTCAAAAAAATGCATTTGGGTGAAAACACGGATTTATATCCGTGGTGAAAAAGATGACATTTTTAACCTATGTCAATATTTGGACTTCAAAATTCCAAATTGTTATAAAAGCGGACTCACGTTCTGAAAAAAGTACATTCTCATGTGTATATTTGCCTTTATATTTGGCAGATTTCATATGATTCAATTTTGACCAACATGAAATCGGGATGGAAACATATACATTTTGTATCAGTATTAGTCAACATGTACTTCTTGATCATGTTTGATTTTTCACAGTATTACATGAATCATATTTCAACTCGAATTTGGTGAAAGTTTTGAGTTAATCATAACCAAGCATTCCACTTCATGAACTGAGCAGAACTCATGTCGTCTGAGGAAAAATTAAAGTGACCACGTGCATCTGTATATTGACACAGTCCGGAATTCGAAATTTAAAATCCATCAACCCCAAACTATGCTATTACTTTATTTTACAAAATATTTTTATATATTTATTTTTTTATTGTAATTATTTTTTTTCTTTGTCCAAAATTCCTCTTTGTTTACATGTTGCTAAATTTATGATACGTAAATTTAATTCAGTGTTGATATTATCTAGCATTTTCTAAATGTATTATTAAAACATAAAACACAAGTTCATGAATTCATTTCTGAGGCTTAGTGTGCCACAATGTATTCAACTGAACAATTTATAATCTTTAAAATTGCATTACTTGTACCTATTTACATGTACTAGTGTAAAAATAAAGACTCAATCTAAATTGTTAACCAATTGTCCAATTATGGCAATCTTAAACCCGTATAATTCGTCAATAAAAATGCTTGGCAGATTGTTTGCCATTAATAGTATATAAGCATTTCAAGTTTAAAATCTCTGATGGTTATTAAAAGAAAACAAGAGCATCACTGAGGCGGGGCAATATACGCCCGATGGCAAACTCTTAAGAATATATCACGGACAAAAATATAACTTTAAGATTGATAAACAATCATTTTACAGAAAATTTGAATCTAGGGACATGACTTTGTTAAATAATCAGCTAAAATCCAGCTTAAGCCTTTATCACATCAGCCGCACGACATTTGGTTCGCACGATTTGTAGAGAAATCAGTGCCATAGAAAGATCGCAGTCTATCTATAGATAGATTTGTATATCTGTCATGTGACATCATTTAATTACGGCCCGTTATAGCCGCAAGATGTTCGTGCGGCAAATCTGCGGTCCTCGCAAGACAAACATTTACATGGGAGTCTGTCTTACGATTGTCTTACGACAGTCTTAAGACGTCCAAAGTCTGTTAAAAAATCGCAAAAATGTGAGCATGTTGAGAAATCAGTCTGCGACGTTGCGGCAACCTTACGACCTTAAAAATATTGTACAAATGACTTCTAAGCAGACATATTACATACTAAAAAATCTTAGGGCGTATGAAAAAGAAAATATCAGAAATCCAAAGAAAAACAAGAAGAGATATATTGCAAAAAATAACTTTCAGGATTATCTGCATGCCAATTTAGAAAGTGTACATGTATTGTAAGTTTTAAGTTAAGATATCAGCGATATCTCCTTCGAAAATATGTGAACCAAGTAATTTAAAGTCGAACCTTGGGCATAACTGAGCAAAATCTTTTAAAAGGTCACCATGTATTCGAAATTTTAGTGAACAAGTATTCCAAATTTGAAGTGAATATATTCAATAGAATAAAATTTCTGAAAAATGAGTCTTTACAAAAGGGTTCCGCGGAGTAAAATTTGGTTGAAAATTGGGGTATGGCTTTGCCTGAATTACGACGTCACATTTTCATAATGAACAAGCATACCAGGCCTGAAGTAGCTAAATAGCTTAGTCTCTTAGAAAATAGGCCTTAATGAATAACCAGCGCCGAAAAGTGGGAATAAAGAATTATTACAAATACATTGAGAAAAAAATGTTACACTTACGAGGATTGGTCAAAAAGTTCTTGGTCCGATGTGCCTCCGGTAGTCAGAGAACACAACTAATGGCCTTACTTTTCAGTATAATCGCTCTCTACATCAATGCACTTTGCCCACCTGTGCTCCAACTTGTTGAACCCTTCAAAATGGAACTCTCTATTTCGGTCCTTAAAGAACTCAATGACCGCCTCCATGTCACCTTTATTGCTTCAAAAACATTTACCACGAAGCTTGGTTTTCAGTTTCGGAAACAGGTAGAAGTAAGGGGGGGCAAGTCCGGGGAATATGGGGGATGGGGAAGAATTTCAGAGTCACAGTCAGTTGCAGCAGCCATTACAACTTGGGAGGTGTGAGCTAGCGCATTGTCGTGCTGGAGCGGAACGCCTTAACTCAGTTTGCCCCTCCTTTTACGCACGATTTCTTGACGCAGACGTCTCAATTGTCTGCATAGTACGTTTTAGGTATGACCTTGCTCAAGATAGTCAATCATGATTATCCCCTGACTATCCTAAAAACTTGAAGCCATCATCTTCCCTGCTGATGGCACCCTCTTGAATTTCTTCGGAGGGGGTGAGCCAGGGTGCTTCCACTACATGCTCTGTTTTTTATTCATGGATTCTGGATCAAAGTGTTTCATCCTGAGTTACGATCCGGTAGATAAAATCAGGTTCAACCTCGTAGCAAGATAATAGATATCTCGAAATGTCAAGCCTGGTCGGTTTATGATCGCCAGTCAACTGTCTGGGGACACATCTAGCGGACCTTTGACATGCCATAAACATCAGTCAGAATTGCCTGAACTGAACCAAAGTTTATATCCACTTCTCGCCTTCTGTCGCACATGACCAGTTCGTGCACAGCCTCGGCATTTTCATCGTTGGTTGCCTCTTTTGGCCGCCCATCAATGCTCTCCCTGCCCCTCTTAAATTCAGCAGCCTATTTATTCACAGTGATATCCTTCCCAAGTGTATCCATGAAGTGTTCATGGTTTTCCTTGGGGGCCATCTCATTCTTACAGGGGTACTTAATGACGGCTCTGATTTCAACTTTCTCCATTTGGTCTAAATGACACACCCCTCTACTATACTGGTCAAAGTGTGTTTTATGTTACTTAATTTGTGTAAAACCGCGTGTAACTCGGTCAGTAATGTTTAATGAGATACCAGTATCGACGTAGCGTGTGTAAATGTCAGTGTGGTGGCTAGAAGTATATCGGGCCAAGAATTTTTTTATCAAAATTGTAAATCATGCTTAAATTAAAATAGTTTTAATGACAATAATAGTGAACAAGAGCTGTCGGTAGGACAGCAACGCTCGACTATTCTTAGTGCTTGATAGTAAAAAAAATGCTTGATACAGTTACCTCCTCCTGTTTACAGGTTGGGGTCATGATGGTGAACAAGTGTGCAAAGTTTCAAAGCCATATGTCAATGGACTTTGAAAATATTTGAACTATTACAAAAACTTTAACGTAAATTCTAAGTCAAAAAAGGGGCATAATTCTGTCAAAATGCTTGATAGAGTTATTTCCTCCTGTCTACAGGTTGGGGTTATGATGGTGAACAAGTGTGCAAAGTTTCAAAGCCATATGTCAATGGACTTTGAAAATATTTGAACTATTACAAAAACTTTAACGTAAATTCTAAGTCGAAAAAGGGGCATAATTCTGTCAAAATGCTTGATAGAGTTACCTCCTCCTGTCTACAGGTTGGGGTCATGATGGTGAACAAGTGTGCAAAGTTTCAAAGCCATATGTCAATGGACTTTGAAAATATTTGAACTATTACAAAAACTTTAACGTAAATTCTAAGTCGAAAAAGGGGCATAATTCTGTCAAAATGCTTGATAGAGTTACCTCCTACTGGTTACAGATTGGGGTCATGATGTTGAACAAGTGTGCAAAGTTTCAAAGCCATATGTCAATGGACTTTGAAAATATTTGAACTATTACAAAAACTTTAACGTAAATTCTAAGTCGAAAAAGGGGCATAATTCTGTCAAAATGCTTGATAGTGTTATCTCCTCCTGTCTACAGGTTGGGGTCATGATGGTGAACAAGTGTGCAAAGTTTCAAAGCCATATGTCAATGGACTTTGAAAATATTTGAACTATTACAAAAACTTAAACGTAAATTCTAAGTCGAAAAAGGGGCATAATTCTGTCAAAATGCTTGATAGAGTTACCTCCTCCTGTCTACAGGTTGGGGTCATGATGGTGAACAAGTGTGCAATGTTTCAAAGCCATATGTCAATGGACTTTGAAAATATTTGAACTATTACAAAAACTTTAACGTAAATTCTAAGTCGAAAAAGGGGCATAATTCTGTCAAAATGCTTGATCGAGTTACCTCCTACTGGTTACAGATTGGGGTCATGATGTTGAACAAGTGTGCAAAGTTTCAAAGCCATATGTCAATGGACTTTGAAAATATTTGAACTATTACAAAAACTTTAACGTAAATTCTAAGTTGAAAAAGGGGCATAATTCTGTCAAAATGCTTGATAGAGTTATCTCCTCCTGTCTACAGGTTGGGGTCATGATGGTGAACAAGTGTGCAAAGTTTCAAAGCCATATGTCAATGGACTTTGAAAATATTTGAACTATTACAAAAACTTTAACGTAAATTCTAAGTCAAAAAAGGGGCATAATTCTGTCAAAATGCTTGATAGAGTTACCTCCTACTGGGATTGGGTCATGATGTTGAACAAGTGTGCAAAGTTTCAAAGCCATATGTCAATGGACTTTGAAAATATTTGAACTATTAAAAAACTTTAACGTAAATTCTAAGTTGAAAAAGATAATTCTGTCAAAATGCTTGATAGAGTTATCTCCTCCTGTCTACAGGTTGGGGTCATGATGGTGAACAAGTGTGCAAAGTTTCAAAGCCATATGTCAATGGACTTTGAAAATATTTGAACTATTACAAAAACTTTAACGTAAATTCTAAGTCGAAAAAGGGGCATAATTCTGTCAAAATGCTTGATAGAGTTACCTCCTACTGGTTACAGATTGGGGTCATGATGTTGAACAAGTGTGCAAAGTTTCAAAGCCATATGTCAATGGACTTTGAAAATATTTGAACTATTACAAAAACTTTAACGTAAATTCTAAGTCGAAAAAGGGGCATAATTCTGTCAAAATGCTTGATAGAGTTACCTCCTACTGGTTACAGATTGGGGTCATGATGTTGAACAAGTGTGCAAAGTTTCAAAGCCATATGTCAATGGACTTTGAAAATATTTGAACTATTACAAAAACTTTAACGTAAATTCTAAGTCGAAAAAGGGGCATAATTCTGTCAAAATGCTTGATAGAGTTATCTCCTCCTGTCTACAGGTTGGGGTCATGATGGTGAACAAGTGTGCAAAGTTTCAAAGCCATATGTCAATGGACTTTGAAAATATTTGAACTATTACAAAAACTTAAACGTAAATTCTAAGTCGAAAAAGGGGCATAATTCTGTCAAAATGCTTGATAGAGTTACCTCCTCCTGTCTACAGGTTGGGGTCATGATGGTGAACAAGTGTGCAAAGTTTTAAAGCCATATGTCAATGGACTTTGAAAATATTTGAACTATTACAAAAACTTTAACGTAAATTCTAAGTCGAAAAAGGGGCATAATTCTGTCAAAATGCTTGATAGAGTTACCTCCTCCTGTCTACAGGTTGGGGTCATGATGGTGAACAAGTGTGCAAAGTTTCAAAGCCATATGTCAATGGACTTTGAAAATATTTGAACTATTACAAAAACTTTAACATAAATGGTTACGCCGACGCTCGGGTGACTGCAATAGCTCTACTTATTTTTATCGAATAGTCGAGCTAAAAAGGC